CATCCCTGAAGGACTTTTAGGACAACTGACTTAACTGATAGGGGATGAGCTGGTTCAGCTTTTTAATCGCCATCCCTGAAGAACTGAGAGACGTTTTTTTATTATTTTTTTCGTACTCACATACCAAGCAGGGATGATCCAAGGTAGCTATGACACTGGCAGCGTATTCGGTCCTTTTCTTTCAGCGCCCCCGATATTAAAAGCGTGACGAAAAAGAAATGCAAGTTCTAAACTTACAAGTAAAAGAAAAAAAAACAAACCGGTAATAGCACGACAAGTCGGGACACCTCGCTGGATCCTTGCCATAGCCCAGTTCTACACAAATTGCTGTACTTCTATCCAGTAAAGAGGAAACAATAAATCTAGGAAACTATACACCATTCCCCCCGAAGGTTCGGATTATTTTTATTTCTAAATTTTCTTGCAACGAATCCTGGATTGACTGAGTCATACCCCGCCCAAGGAAACTCGTTACAATGTCTTCACTAACCTCGATTCACAGTCATATGAGAGTAATTTAAATGTGTGGGCCTGAAATCCACCTCGATCCGCAGTCATATAAGAGTAATTTAAATGAGCGGGCCTGAAATCCACTTCGATTCGCAGTCATATGAGAGTAATTTAAATGAGCGGGCCTGAAATCCACCTCGATTCGCAGTCATATGAGAGTATTAAATGAGCGGGCCTGAAATTCACCTCGATTCGATTTATAAAACAGGAAAATTTTTTGTAGGAAGCCCTTTCTTTTATGCTATTAGTTGGTATAGAGAAATCTCGCGTTACTAAATGAATTTTGTGTGCAATAACTTTTTCTCCTACGTGTGACCGAACAGCAAAGTGACCGTGTCAATGATTTTGTAAAACGTATACAAGAAGATTCAAATGGCGTTTCTTTAGATGAATTAAATATAAGGCTCAAAGCTTTAGACAGTGCTTTTTATGCTTTCAACAAAGTACAAACAAAAATTGAAGAAAAGGTTTTTGATGAAATCTCTCAACCAAATAGATCAAAATGCGAAGAATTATACTACTGTATAGCAACAACGTTAAAAGTGTGCATATCAGGACTCAACAATTCAGATTCGAACCAAACAATTCATGTTTCCCATGCGATATTATCTGATGAAAAATACGACACTGTAAAACTGCCAAACATCGAATTACGCGAATTTTCTGTTGATGCTACTACATGGATAGCTTGGTTCGATGAATTTACATCATTGGTGCACAACAATGAAAGGCTTCACATCTTTACTAAATTGCATCATTTGGTATCTAAATTGAGTCCGGCCGCATGGGCTCGTATAGCTGGCATAAAAATCATTGTTGAAAATTATGAAATAATATTACAAAGGTTAAAAGACCGCTTTGAAAACAAGAAAATTATTGGGAAGCAGCATATCAAAAAAATTTTTGAGCATCCTAAGATCATTCATGCGAATGCAGCTGATTTACGAGAATTAATCGATACCATGAATAATCACCTTATAGGTTTGAAAAATATTAATCGTCCAGTTGAATCATGGGACGATCTTATGGTAAAGGCGCCAATTGATCGTTTACCAATACTCTCTGAATTATAAAATTTTTTAAGAGGACGTTGTCAAATTCTTGAGAGTAATTTGAGGTCTGTTTCTTTACTCGGTGGTGCTTCCACTAGCCCTGCTACAGAGCCAAAAAGGGTTCAAAAAACAGCAAAGTCTTTTGTTACCATTAAAAATTGCTGCAGCTTTTGCCAAAAACCGGGTCATGTTATATATCGCTGTTCTGATTTTTTAAGCTTATCTGCTGCTGATAGATTGAACAAAGTACATGCACTTAAACTTTGTGTCAATTGTCTTAAATTCAAAAAACATAATTTATCTGATTGTACCTCTAAAGGTCGTTGTCACACATGTGGCAAGGGCCGTCATTCACTATTACATTCTGACCACCCGCAATTGGCAAATTACACTGCTTCAAAACATAATCAAATCAATGAAACAAATCATATCGAATCTGCAGAAAATGCAAATCATAACATGAGTGATCAAGCACATCCTAAAAATTTAGCTGCTTTGAAACACACAGAACGAAATATACTAGCTACAGCAATTGTTTATATTATATCGAAATATAACCAACGCTTTGCTTGTCGTGTTCTATTGGATGGTGGTTCACAAATTAATATGATTTCTGAACGCATGGTTCTTATGACCGGTCTAAAGCATCAATACGCTCCAATTCAATTTCAATGTGCAAATAAAACTGTGGAAACATCAAACTTTATATGTATCACAAATATTGAATCGCTACTTAAACCATTCTCGGTTACTCTTGAAGCTCACATAGCTGACCAAATAAGCGGAACCCTTCCTGATGCTGAAATTGATATTTCAAACTGGAACATATCAGAACATATACCATTAGCAGATGAACGTTTTAATATACCACAATGAGTCGAGTTATTGGGTGTTGACATATTTTTTGATATTTTGGAGAATGGTAAAATTGCCTTAGGACGCAATCGTCCCATATTAACCAATACACGTTTAGGCTGGATTGTCGCGAGACACTTCCACACCATGCAAATTCAATTGCATATGTCAATTGCAACTCATTACAAATATCTAACTTTCAAAAAAATGATCACCTATCTGATGCTATTAAAGCATTTTGGGAAATTGAAAGTTTTAAAGAATGTTCGCCAAAATTATCACAAGAAGGAGAGCAGTGTGAGTTACATTTTCGAAATAATTTTACGAGGTTGCCAGACGGACGATTTGGTGTAAAGTTGCCTTGTCACGGTCTTAGCTCCTTTTCGGCCGGTAGAGCATATATATATATATTTTTTTTTTTGAATGGGATTTGGCTCTCGGAGCCTCCTGACAAAGAAAAACTAAAAGAAGGAATAGTCCCGTCGGTTGTCTACCGTCCGTCTGTCCACCGTAAATCAGTCTGTAACTGTCTGGCGTCTGCCCTACATATGCACATATGCAAACCCCCTTTTTCTTTCAGCTACAGCGGTGGCAGCTGTAACGCTTAACCACTCATCGGGGACACACAAAGAAGGAACGTAAACAACCTAAAATAACTTACAATATAATCCAATTGGTGTAGCGTCTGCGGCAGTCTGCTTACATTGGTGGTTGCTGTTCCCAGCAAAGGGTTGTTGCCTCCTTTGATTTATAATTCATAATGACCCGAAAGGTTGTTGTTGTTGTTGTCCGGTTGCAGCGCAGCAGGTGTATTTAGGTTGCCTTCACTTAAATTTTGACAATAAACGTATGCACTTCCAATTGTTGATTATCAGTATACTCTGCCAATCGCAACTTTCACTACCCCTTCTTTTTTTCCTCTTTCTTCCTTTATTTTTTTTTTCTTTACCAAAAAATTTTCATTGTAGATTATGTTTCGTTTGTATTGTACTTGCTGGCATTTAAATGAATAATTTTTGATGGGAGAATTTAAAAACCATATTTTAAGTATATTTTTTTCTTTTACTTTTACATATATTTCAGCATAGGAAAAATATTTGTTTGATATGGGGAATTTTTTTGATTTTTTTTTTTTTTTTTTTTTTTATGGAATACACAATAAAACTAATTCCTTAAATTACTGAGACAAACAAATCACCAATAGGTTTATAACTTATAAATTTGGAGTTTAGTTCATCAAGTTTACAAGAAAGAACTATTCGCACTTTTATTAGCTCTAGGCTTTACCAATTTTTCTCTTCCTCTTCCTCTTCCTTTTTTTTTGTGCTTTTACTTCTCATTAGTTCTCGTTAATAATTGCTTTCTTTGAACTACCAAAAGGCATCACTCTATCCTTTTTGTTTCACTATTGTTTGCTAGTTTGATTCTCTGCTGGGTTGTCTTCGTAATTTAATTTTAGTTAATTTCAACTTAGTTAATGTTAGTCCTTTTTATTACCCTTGAAGGATAATCTTAAAAATTATTTTTACTTATCCGTTTTATATTAAGCTCTGAAACCCATCTTCACCAGATGCCAAATAGTTCTCTTTTATCAACAATTTTCTACATTATTCGCTTGGTAAAAAAACTTTTTGCTTCTTGTTTAACTTTAGATTCTTTCTTTCTGTTTCTTTCCCCTTTTTTTTGATATTCAGGTAAAAGAATTCATTGAATTAATTATCAAAAGGTGACAAGTTCACAACTTTTATGGCTATTAACCAGTCCAGAATTTGGATGAATTTTACTGTCAAATATCACTCAATGTAAATTTAGGATATTTCTTCTTTAAAGTGGCGTTTTTTTTTTTTGGTTCACAAAAAAACGTTTAACTTTTTTATTTAATAAAACTGAAGACACAACTCGCGGACACGTCCGCACTCCATCAGATCCCAGGTTGTCCTCTCCTCTAACTTGAAATTAAAACGCCGACAGACTTCTCGTTCCTACTCAATTTCCCTCTTCTTCTTCCTGTTGCTCTCTCTATAGCGGCTTGCCGCTACTCTCACAAAAGCAAGCAAAGATCCCGCAAAATCATACGATTTTTGCCTATGCTTGCAAAAGCAAAGAAAAAAAAGGAATACCGCAAAATCATACGATTTTGCATGTACTTGCAAAAGCAAAAGGAAAAAAGGAGTACCGCAAAATCATACGATTTTGCCTGTACTTGTAAACAAGGAAAACAGAAAAGAATAAAACAAACATATCCCGCAAGATCATGTGATTTGTAAGCAGTACCCCAAAATCGCATGATTTTGTCTAACGGCATGCCGTTATTCCGCTACTTGCGGTTGATACAGACCGACAGACACCCTGCCCAAGGTTTGTTCGCGGCCCCTACAGCCTTTCAAATCATCAACATCTTTATTGGGTAACTCTTACGACATTGCTTTTAAACGCTTTCGGGCATTTGAAACAAATGAACAATTACCTAGTGATTATACTAAATTTATGAATGAATATATTCAACTTTCACATAAGGAAATTGTAGAATCATTTGATTTTTCACAACCACATTACGTGTTACCGCACCATTACGTACATAAACTTTCGAGTCCACAACAAAGTTACGCGTCGTATTTGATGCGTTATGAAAAACCACATCTGGTAAAACTTTGAACGAGGTTCTTATAGTTGGGCCAGTAATTCAACCTGATTTATTTACAGTAGCTTTACGGTTTCGATCTTACACTTATATATTCACAGCTGATATAACTAAAATGTATCGTCAAATTGCTCTCGATCCTGATGACAGGCGATACCACTTTGTATTTGTATTATGGCGTTCACAAGGCGATCAACCAGTACAGCTATACCAACTAACTACAGTTACATATGAAACGGCATCTGCATCATTTTTAGCCACGCGCGCATTAAAACAATTAGCTATTAATGAACTACATAATTTTCCGTTAGCTGCAAATGCTATAATATACAAATATACAAATTTTTATGTAGATGATCTACTAACGGGTTGCAACACACTTCATGAAGCCATGCAATTACAAGCACAATTAATTTCTATTTTATCTAAAGGAGGTTTCAGCCTAAACAAATGGTGTGCAAATCATCAAGTTTGATTAAACACATTCCTAAAGAAAATCGTGAAATTTTATTCACCATTAAAAATTCAAATGCGATCAAAACTCTTGGAATTGTTTGGGAAGGTTTGCAAAGGAAAAATTTCTTTACAAGATTGATATAAAATTCAACGAAAATTATACTAAAAGAACAATTTTATCTGAAATTTCACAAT